GATCATAACGTGAAGCAACTTGGAAGACTGGGTATGAATGCTAAGTGTATGGGAGAATGCATGTAGGGCGATAGTGCGGGTTCTAATCCCAGGATATGCCTGAAAAAAGGAGAATTGAATTTTTTTTAACATCCCTATGCTTTTTTTGCCGTCATCAAGGCGGTAGACGGTGTCGTATTACCCTCGATCGTACCTGTCCCGTACCTATCCCGTACCGTACCGTACCATCAAAGACGGCTGGCCACAATGCATATTCAAATAGGGCTTTCAAATGCAAGATCATAACGTGAAGCAACTTGGAAGAATTAGTATGTATGCAAAGTGTATCGGGGATGCATGCAGTGCGCGCGATAGTGCGGGTTCGAATCCCAGGTTATGTCTTAAAAAACAAGGATTTTAAACAGAATTTATAACATCCCTATGCTTTTTTTTGTCTAGGTCATCAAGGCAAAAAAGCATAGCGTAGGGCCCTGAGCTTCCAAGCTCTCTCGTTACAAGATGAAGAAAGTTAGGAGAATGAAGTTGAAGACACCACTGCAGCTGTACTTATGGTTGATAAATATGGTGGTAAAGACACACCTGGCAATATGGCGGCAAACACACGCCTTCCCACACACGCTCTCTAGGCTGCGGGGACTAGCGGGGACGAAACGTACGTCGCAATCGAGCTATGTCATCATCTATGTGCCATGCGCTACTTGATGTACCAGCCTGCTATGCCGGATACCGCCAGCCATGTATCGACCAGGCGCCAGGCGCGAACTGATGGTGGTGGTGGTGAGAAGGAGAGCTCTGTGCCAGAACTTTGCAGCCTACAGAGCGTGTGTGGGCAGGCGTGTGTTTACCGCCATATTGCCAGGTGTGTCTTTACCACCATATTTATCAACCATGAAGAAAGTTAAGTTCCAAAGTGTTTTCTTGTGACTGTCAACAGTGGAACGCCGTCACATAAAAATGCAATAACTAAAACACACACTGACATACATGTAGCTAATATGGTTTCAGGTAGAAGTACAGCAGCCAACAAGTACAAAAAGCAAAGTTTGCACATTTGCAATGTGTGAATATAGTGTATGTGAGAAAGGTAAAGAAAACGTATCACTCACACTCTTCAAGTAATACACACGCACCATTACATTCATTCACACAGTATCACATTCATCTGCCACTACCTTTCTCACATACACTATATTCACACATTGCAAAGGTACAAACTTCGCTTTTTGTACTTGCTGGCTGCTGTATTTCTACCTGAAACCATATTAGCTACATGTATATAAGTGTGTCCTATGTTTTAGGTATTACATTTTTATGTGACGGCGTTCCACTGATGACAGTCACAAGAAAACGTTATGGAACTTAACTTTCTTCATTTTTTGCTGTTGTTATGAGTGCACAATTTATCTTATTTATTGCCATTTTACGACTATTGTCTCCTCGTCGATTGTTTATTACAATACTCTATTTTTATTTTTCATTTCCTACCCCCCACGCCCCACGCACACACACTGCTCACAGTCAATTCTGAATTCTGCCGCTGTGAGTCCCATTCAGGACAGATACGAAAATACTAATAATGATAAAGAATTTGAAGTTTGGTTTGCGAGATTTTCATTATTTTGTAGCCAAGGACTTTGTGCGGCCGTGGTTGGTAGAAATTAAAATAATAATAATCATGAATCAAGTATCATGCTGTAGGACTTCACATTCAACCCGCTATACTTAATACATTCCACTAAGGCAGTTACTTTTACATTGCTGTGTTAAAGCCAGGCTGCTTAAACTGCCATTGTGTTACCGTGATTATCCTGAAAGTTGTTCTGCCTTGGCCTGGATACAGCTGACTTACTGTAAAAGCCATTATTCTAACGAGGCGCATATAATTATAACGATTTCCCAAAATTGACTAGTTTACGTGTACCAAAGCTAACGATTCTCACTCATTCTTAACGCTCAATAGGACAGTAAAAGTATCGATTTCTGTATAACGATTTCTATTTTAATGACAGATTTCTCCTCGTTAACTCGTTAGAGTTAGCACTTCGTTATGGCTTTTACAGTACTTTGGTTAATTAGTACTGCATGAAAATATATTTATTATGAGTATAAAAGTAGAAAGGAAAAGGACATAATTATGGAAACGCGTTAAGAGTAACTCTCCACCACTGTAACTAGATACTATTATACAGTCAGAAAGTGGTGGAGAGTTACTCTTAACTCGTTTCCATATGAACTTTTCCTTTCTACTTTTATTATTGGCTAAATACCCGAGTTTCAAATTATGAGTTTACCATGACATTATACAAACTTACCCCTCACGCATAGCACAAACATGACATCCGTATTGCAATCAAAATCATTCCACACATTCGTTGAATTTCTGCTATAGAATAGTCCGACGCAGTCCTCGTCATATAGATCATTCGGCTCACCAGACAGCCAGTTGCTGTAAGTGATATTATGTCCTGTATCTCTCCATCGAAACACACCTTCACTCTGTATAGGAAAGACCGGAATCGTAAGATAGGAGTAATAAGGATTAGAACGAGGTCAGTCAAGGGTGCTAGGAAACTACAATGCAGCGCATCTCATTCGTCATCAGGCCACCCCTCCTAATTATATTGATATACAGTAAAACCTGTGACTAGCGACCACCCCTTGGAGCCAGGGAAAGTGGTCTTTAGTGGCAGGTGGTCCTTAGTTAGAGGTTTGCACCGCACAACCATTATATGAATGTGAGACCGTCCGTGCCTTTTCAAAGTGGTCTGTAGTAGCAAGCTGGTCGCTAGTCACGGTGGTCTTTACTTACAGGTTTTACTGTATACACCATCAGGCAATCCTAACGTTAGCCATGCCACCACTTGTAATTGGTGAAAGCACAATGCTGTGTTTTCAGACCTGGAAGAATGCAAATAAAAAAAGTTTTTGCAAAATTTAGAGTTTGAAGGAGTTGCCTGCCCTCAACTTGGAGTGCCCTCTTCATCCTGAAATAACTGACAAAGGGCTGTGATGCGGAGCCCAAAAGAAGCGCATTTAGTCAGCCAGTAGTAGGCGGATGTAAAGGATACCTATTGGCACTAGGGAAATCATTTCTCTGTAAGTAAATGTAAGTCATGCGAACTCAGAAGTAGCAATGAACTCGGCATTTTTTAACCCTCATTCCATGTTGACCTTTTTCCTACGTTCCCAGTATATTTGGGGTCCTTTTGGACTCCAGGAACGTTTTGGGTGGTATTCTTGCAAAACTCTCCATTTGTAATTGTTTGCTGCGTTACCTTCCCATAGAACAATGCTTTGACCCAACTCCATTTGGTGACAGCTCTGAAATTTGTCGGGACTTTTTTTGCAAGTTTGCAAGAATACCACCCAAAACGTTCCTGGAGTCCGAAAGGACCCCGATTTACTGGGAATGTAGGAAAAAAGTCAACATGGAATGAGGGATTATGGCTGTAGAAGGACATTTTCTTGCAGGGCATCGTACTTCAGTCGATGTCATCCATGTATTCGGTGACCAGGGAAATAAATACCAAAAACTATCGCAATTGTTGCACTTCCCTGTGTTCTATGTTACTGGGGTCCATTTGGACCCCACCCGCATTTTCCGTAACAAAAGCGAAATCCATCATGAACATCTAACCCAGACTATTTCTCTATCTCGGTTATTGTGTTGTTGAGGGATACATGAAGATTCAGGGAGATGTGACGCAGTAAAGTACAAATATGTCAAAAACCATACCCCTGGGGGCCATTTTGCGAGTGTGGAGGAACAGACAATTATAGTTTAACATTCATTCCGGGCTGTGGGGTCCGTTTGGACCCCACAACCCGGAATGAATGTTAAACTATAATTGTCTGTTCCTCCACACTCTGCTCTTGGCCCACATTCACAACTGCAAAAGCATAGTCCATAGTGAGGGTCTTCGTCAGATATGTGCTCCACACCCTCCAGAAATCAACTGTCTCTCAGCGTCTGTTGAGCACAACTCCGTGAGCAACTTTGACTCATGCTGCTACCTGGGGCCTCAAGAGGTGTTTGTCGGCCCGGAAATGGAGCGACTCTGTAAGATTGTATCCATGGTGATGATTATATCCATGGTGATGATTGTATCCATGGTGATGATTGTATCCATGGTGATGATTGTATCCATGGTGATGATTGTATCCATGGTGATGATTGTATCCATGGTGATGATTGTATCCATGGTGATGATTGTATCCATGGTGATGATTGGGACAGTACTGTTGGTTTGAAATATTTTATTCCCACGATGGCCTGTGGCCAATAAGAGAAGGTGGCACATTTATTGCACAGTCTTTCTCAGCCTACTCTAGCTCAACTGATGAGGGGTGAATTCCCTGAAACACTGTGTATTGAAACGGAAGTGCTGCTTTCTTGCTGGTTTGCCCAGTGGAAGGTGTCGTGAGCCAGTAAAGTGTCAAGTTTGAGAGGATGCGTGTGTTCTTGGAAGTACGTGAGAGCACTCAACTTCTTTACGAGTACCGCCGCAGCCTCTGCTTATAATTTCGTGAGGGGAAATGTTTTAGGAATGGATTTGCTTCCACACTTTAGGTCGCACTATTCCCGTGACTTGGCACTTGGCACTTGACTGACTCACGACTGCCATCCAGAGCACACAAGAAGAGCACACGAGAAGTCCATCGAACCTTCAAATTCTGGATGCCAGTCGTGAGTCAGTCAAGTGTCAAGTCAAGTCGGCGGAATAGCGCGAGCTCCAGTGTGGGAGCAAATCCATTCCTAAAAATCATCGCCGCGAAGTCGCAACCACTATTTCGTACAGGAGAAATGTTGTCCCAGATTTCTTGATACTTATTAATACTTACTTCTTCATCATCTCCGCCCAGCCATACATTCCATTTGACTAACTGACCAATCTCATCATTCTCCCGTTTATTGTATACTCTGGGTAGCCAAGTGTCACCACCAGGTTGTGCTCGGCAGAGTGCGCGAGCCTTATGGTAGGAGTGAAGTCCTCGCAAAATCAATCCACAATATCTTGATCCATGGGCAATTTGCTTCCACGGTGCAACACATGCTGGAAGAAGTCAATAAGTCCCAAAACATAAACTCTACTCAACATTGTGCAATGTACTGTACTCGCGCGATTAGTGAACTTGACGCACTATTGTTCAAAGCCCATCAAAGACGGGGCACCATGAAAGAGAGGGCACTATCCAAGGGAGAGAAATATTGAAGAAAGACAATTACGTTCTCAAATATTATTATTATTATTCTCGTATCAGTCCCGGACGGGACTCACGACAGCAAAATTGAATACGTTCTCAATGCTGGTACATATACCTCCTCCAGCATAAAACACAGTTCCTGAAACCACCAGCGCAAAGAAGTGGACAAGAACATTAAGAGAACAACACCAAACTTGTACATGGATTTGGTTGCTAGCCCAGGAGGGGGGGGGGGGGGAGGGGGGGCTGGGGGAGCTACACAAGACAGGGCTATATTGTTTTATAGGGTCTCAGAGATAGAGGCACTATTCAAAAGAGGGCTCAACTGGCACGAGTACAGTATTTTACGACATATTTTGTCAGCTTTCGTGTAAGATTTTCTTCTATACCCGGAAGCTCCACTGCAGACACCCAATCAACTCTCCAACTCCTTTACAACCAAGGTCATCAACATGTGTGTAATGGCTACCAAGGGTAGAGAGGGCAAGGAGGACAAGAGGAGGGATTGTTTCACTTTGTCATGGTCACCATTCATACATACCATGTACTGAAGTAACTATAAGGAATATTTGTATTTACGCAAAAGATGTTTTCTACATAATTTTGTCTGGTGTTGCAGTTTAGTTGCAATTGTAGCAGATCATAGTTGGCTACCTGAACAAAGGTTGATAGGTGAAGCATTGGCAAATCCAGAGTAGCAACCACACGTATAACTACCAGCTGTGTTTGTACATGTTGAGTTCATTGAACAGTTGTGAGTACCAGATGCACACTCATTGATATCTGTAATATAAGACCCACACCAGCATATCACCATGAACAATGTGCAGTCGCAGGCTTTCAACATGTGTTGTAAACGGAGGGTGTGCGAAGAGAGGATGCAGTGCTCGTCAAAGACGAATCGTTAGGAAACAGTTCATTTTGATAAACATTGCTCAAGAACACTCATACAGTCCCTGGACTGCAATAAAGAAAAGAAGAGTTAAATGGATTTTCAATCAATATTTTGAAACAAAGAATACGGTGGGGCACAAGTTATGCATTAGAGTCCACCAACTGAACCAGGTTTTGAAGAGGCACAAGGTCTCAATCAATATTTCGCTGATATGTTGCTACTCTTGGGGAAACTTGTTAACATAGTAACTGTGGGCACAAGTTATGCATTTGAGTTCACCAATTAAACCAGATTTTGAACAGTCAGACGTGCACAATCTAGCACAAACCTGACAAGGAGTACTGAGGCATTGAAGCTCAAGCTCAAGCTGGCTTTCATGCCGTGGAATGTCTCAGTACTCCTTGTCAGTTTTGTGGTAGATTGTGCACGTCTGACTTTCAAAATCTGGTTTAGTTATTGTACTCGATCGCAGAACTTGTGCCCACAATTTCCATGTTTCAAACTAATATTATTTTCCTTTGCTCACCATCTGAGTTCTTGGGGAATAATTAATTTTACAATCGAACTCTCCGACGGTAATGCACTAGCCGAATTCAATCTCGTGGCAAGAAAGAAAACACGAAGCGCCTCCTTATATCCGTGCCGACATGTGATAGGAACAATCCCTACTCTGGCAAAAACTCGAGTGAAGCCACGGCGAAGCGTCATTTCCGTCGTTTTCATTTGAAACAAACTTTCGTTTTCAATCCAAACGAAGGTCAACAGACGATTTCTTCATGCATTCCCGCAACTGATGTTCCCTGAAACACGTGTACTGTACTGGAGCCTGTACAGTCAACCAGTTACGCGTCCACTTGGCTCCTGGTAAGTGTACCTGTAACGAACTGTGAGCACGTGAGTACATAGTACTATGCCTTGGACTGTGCCTGAGTGCACGCCATTCACGGCCACGGGGTGCAGAAGCAGTCATGAGCAGTTGGTGGGGTACAAACTGCAGAGTGCAAAAGCCATGGGCGCGTAGCAAAATATTATGTACAGTCATCTACTGCGTAGGGCACATGCACAGAGTGCACTTCAACAGGAACTGTGAACTGGTTAAAGAATCGTTCGACACCTTCGTTCGTTTTGATGAAGACGGTTCGTTTTGCAAATTGAGCCCTTCGTTTGACCACTAGCGACACTGGGTACCAATCAATCCCTGAAATTCAGAATTGATTTTCAGGAAACACTTTGGGTGATCAAATTTGTATTTTTTTTTGGCAGTGTGCCCAACTGGGACACTGTAGGTATTCACGAATCACTAGAAATGCATAAATTTAAAAGTCGCTTCTTGAATGAAGAACGGTGGCCCTGACAACTGATGTCAAAAGTGTACTCCTACTTGTCTTCTTCGCCTACCCATAAATTACCCCTGACAGGCTAACACATATGTTTAAGCAATGACCACAACAGCGTTAAACTCCTAGGAAACGCTGAAACACCTCCAAATTTATGTCATGTGCACGGCTAGCTCACTCACCTTGGCACGCTGTCTCTGGCGACCATAGCAAACTGGCATTGCAAGTGATGTTGGAGCTGCCAATCTTTTTGTACCCAGTATTACACACGATATTGACGGTACTTCCGATGTAAAATCTATCACCAGTCTGTGTGGCGCCCGTGACCACTGGTGCTGAGCAGGATGGCATATCTGCGAGAATGTAGGAGCAGCAAACAAAAGGACATCACAATGCTTCAATGCGACGTACCCCACGATAGGCTGTTAGCCTTTGGGTCATCGGAACCAGAGGGCTTGAAAAGCACAGGGCCCTTGCTATGCTTTTTGGCTTAGGTCATAATGCATGTTATTCGAACTGGTGGAAACCTTTTTGCAATACAATGATAAAAATAAAAATCCGCCCGCCCTCCCCAATTTTTTTGGAAAACAGGACGATCATGAAGTACATGTATTCCCTGGCTTGGCCTAACATGGGAACTCTGGGTGGGGGGGGGGGGGCGATACATCCTATTTTAAAGTTATTGCTGCTCAACTTCTGAGGAGCGCACAGCCATATGGCCTTCAGGTCAGCGTCAAAGTGCCGCTCAACCTCGGAATCAAGTTTGGATTTGATGTACATGTCAATGGCGCCAACTGCTTTGCATGTCTTCCCTTCCATACATCCACAAGTGTTCTTGCAGACACTATCCCTGCAGTACCCCGTGTAGTCCAGCGCTGCCACCTCCGCATCAGCAAAATCCGAGTCAAAGCATGTCTCAGCGACTGCCGCTACATCAAAATAATGCTTACATAGTATGCCTTCCAGAAGGATGACCTTGTGCCGCAAGCTGCGGATATTGATATGTCCAACTTTAAGTTCCTGAGTTTTCAGTGGCATGTAAGTTGCTGCAAATGAGGTGAGGGTGCTGGGGCACAAAGGGGAGGAAGGATTTAGGAAAGATGCACTCATGCTGATGCTGATGTTGTGTCCTGGTTGCTCCAGCCACGGCTGTCCTTGCGAAATCTCTAGGGTCTCACACTGATCTTATCTGGCCAGAACCCACTTTGGTCGACTTTGGAGCCTGCTGCCTCCGGAATCACTAGATGGGCATGAACTGTGCCAAACGCGATGGATTTGGCCACCCTGCATCAGTACATCTCCATTCCTCGCTCAGTGGAAAAAGTTGCTATGGATTCGGCAGGGCATCTGGGGTTTACATTCCCTAGGAAGAGTAAATTGAGTCTTGGCCTGTCTGAACTCCACAGGGTATCGGATGTCGGCTTGTCATAAATAGATGTGGCAGTTCTCGCTATTGCTTCTCCAGCGCGGAAGGTGTGACATTGCTTTGCTTGCTACCAGTTTTTGTTTGCTGATCTTTTTCCATTTTCCTGGGTTGATCTCTCTGGAGGCGCATTAGAGTTGTTGTCCTTCGGGGATGGGGATCTAGCAGTTTCTTGGCTGTTAGAATGAGTACCAGTACTCTGTGTATGTATGTGTGTGTGTGTGTGTGTGTGTGTGTGTGTGTATGTGTGTGTGTGTGTGTGTGTGTGTGTGTGTGTGTGTATGTCGGTCGCAGGTGTAGCAGGTGATGGGAGGGGTTGGGGGGGGGGGGATGCTGTGCATCCACCGGTGCTGATTACGCCGAGCGCCAGGTGAAACGAGACATGCATTTAGCTCGCCAATCCACCTCGAGGCCGCGAGAACGAAGGTCAGACATAATACAATCCTTCCAGCGCCTGCGCTGAAAATATATGTATAAAAGATTAAAATCATGCGAGAAGGTTATAATTATGAAAGCTTCCCTTTGCCGTACGCAAGCGAGAGATATACCATCGGAACTGATATCAGACTGTCTTTCATCTGAGCCCAACCTGAAAAATCGATGCACTTTCCTTACGTTCATGCAATGGGAGAGATCAGTACTAATTGTTGGCGGTGTAAAATGTGCACATCAGACTGTTGAGGGCCTGGTCTATTTGGTGGAATCTAATGTATAACTAGTGCCCCGCAGATTTCCACGTTTTCAATTTATGAAAAGGGTGAGACAATATTTCAAACGAAAAAACACATAATCCCGGATTATTATTCTTAATCCGCATTGTCTTCCTTTGTACAGATATTGCGCAATCACACACATCTTGTGTATCATGAAATTGTGCACATGTACCTCTCACACAGAGCACCTTGAGTGAGTAGCCATGACAAATAAAATCATTCCACTCATACGTTCTCCGTAAGGTGTAATATATTCCGATGCAATCCTCAATGCCAGAATGATCATCTGGCTGACCGGGCAGCCAATTAGTGTAAGTTATAATTTGTCCTGTATCTCTCCATTGATATACACCTTCATTCTGCATGGGAAAGACGCACGATAAATAGTAAAATTATTCCCACTGCCATGCAAAATACTTTACTTGAGTAACGTCTTATCGCAAAAAAGGGGCCACACTCCTTTAATCTGGTCATTGCTTGTTTCCGTCGGGCGCGTCGGTATGCCCGGCGCTATGCCGTATATGTCCCATGCCCTAGCATCAAAGACAGCTGGCCCATTTATTTAAATAGGGCTTTTAACAGCAAGATCATTACGTGAAGAAACTTGGAAGAATGAATGCATGCAACATGTATTGGGGAAATGTATGCAGGGCGATAGTGCAAGTTTAAATCCCATGTTATGTTTGATAAATATGGTGGTAAAGACACACCTGGCAATATGGCGGTAAACACACGTCTGCCCACACACGCTCTCAAGGCTGCAAAGTTCTGGCACAGAGCTCTCCTTCTCACCACCACCACCATCAGTTCGCACCTGGCGCCTGGTCGATGCATGGCTGGCGGTATCCGGCATAGCAGGCTGGTACATCAAGTAGTGCATGGCACACAGATGATGACACAGCAACGACATAGCTCGATTGCGACGTACGTTTCGTCCCCGCTGGACTCATCAGGCAATCTTCTTCTTGGATGTCTTCATACGGAGCTTGACTCGGGAGAATGAAATTGAAGACACCACTGCAGCTGTACTTATGGTTGATAAATATGGTGGTAAAGACACACCTGGCAATATGGCGGTAAACACACGCCTGCCCGCACACGCTCTCTAGGCTGCAAAGTTCTGGCACAGAGCTCTCCTTCTCACCACCACCACCATCAGTTCGCGCCTGGCGCCTGGTCGATGCATGGCTGGCGGTATCCGGCATAGCAGCCACCATATTTATAAACCATAAGTACAGCTGCAGTGGTGTCTTCAATTTCATTCTCCCATGTTATGCCTTATTAAAATAGCAGAAAAGAAAAAAATGAGAGACTCTCTATGCTTTTTTTGCCTAGGTCATTATCACCGTAAGATGGTGGCGCATTATCGCATTATCATTTGAATGTTTTTGGGTGTGCTGCTAATGGGCCGGAATAATGTAAGGATCGGGTAGATTTACATGTAAGTGTCTTAATGAGCGCGGCTGTTGTATATTAGTAAAATGTAATAGTAGTATGCTGAGATCAGAACAGAGGACTATGAGGAAGGGAAGAATGTCAGGGTTGACAGTGCAGAAGTTCTGAGCTGACAGCGTAGGTAGGAGTACCTAGGCAGAGAGTAGGATATGGGAGAAGACAGGTTCCGTCGCCTCAAGAGTGGTCGATTGGAAAAATTCGGAAAAAGTTTATTTCAAGAAAACCCCAAAAGGTAGATGGGGACATGTCCTCAGTGCTAGAAGAGGTGTTCTACTGTCTGCCGGTGCATAATTCTTGCCAATTGAGGATATAGCTGGTTGTTTTAGCAACGCTTGTAAATTGGCTATTTTCCAGACGATCATTTGTGGCGTCAGAGGTGATGGCCCTCGTCTTCTGGGATGCTGGCGCGGCTAAGCGGTACTGCTCCAGGAACTCTTCTAAGGTGAGGCAATGTTGGCCTGATGGAGTTTTGTTCGTAGCTTGTTCGTATACGCTGTGGCGTGACTCATTAGTAGAATGACAAAATAATGTGATATTTTGGCCATTTTTGGCCATTTTTGAGGGGTATGCAAGTTTCAAGGTTCCCTTCAGAAACTTTTTAAGGGATTTGCAGTCAATCTACGCCACAAAAGGAACTCACCTTGACTTGCACATATGATTCGGTATTCTCAGACATGCTCTCTTAAGAGAATCAGAGGGTTCACAACAACCTCCGCCCGTAGTGCATCAGTACACAAAAAAGCAAGGCAAATTTTTTGAAAAGGAAAACGTTAGTCAATCGTACAGCAGTGCGAATCAGAATGAAGAAGCTGCTTTGGAGGGTTCCTGCGGGTTTTTTTTTGAAGAGTGGTATTAATGAGAAATGATGTGTTAAAGTCAATGGTACACTCACGTCTGAATCCTCTCCGCCTAGCCACATATCATCTTTCACATATTCACCAATCTCATCGTTCTCCCGTTTGTTGTATATTCTTGGCAGCCTTGCATCACCACCAGCTTGGGCTTGGCAGAGTGAGCGTGCAGGATAGTAGGTGGCCCTTCCTGCCAGAAGCCTTCCACAATATCTTGAGCCAGGGGCAATTTGCTTCCATGGTGCAGCGCATTCTGAAAGAAAAAAATACGATACAATGATTTCAAACCTTAACCCTTACCACCTGGGCATACAAAATGGACTTCGATAGTCGATAGAGCCGGAAGTCGGGAGGTCGCGAACTTGCGCGCTGATCAACTGCGTCTGCCTTGATGATCACTTGAAGTAAGTTGAAGGAGTAGAGTGTCGCGTCGGGACAAAGCTTCTGGAAATATTTCTGTGTGTCCGTTTGAGGTAGATTTGTAGTGAAAGGAGTCTAGTCGCTTGAGTAGTACCATTCTCTTGTTCTCGCGACCTGAGCTAGCGATGAGAAACAAAACTCTTGTCCAGACGACGGTGATGGACTTTGCAGCTAAGCTAGCTGCAAAACCCAGTGATTCAGCGCACGCTGGCGCAATAAAAAAATGCTGTTTGACTGCGTGGCACTGGCAGTTTATCATGTGGTCACTGAGCATTCTCACTTTCTCATTGATTCTGGCATCTGGCTCTAGCTAGCTTACATGTCAATCTACATGCGTGATCACAGTGTTTGTTTAGCTGCACACCTTCAATACTGAACAGTGGCCATTTAGGTAAGACTCTGGAGCGCTTTGGTGTGAATGACTAACAGTGAGGGTGAACTTGTGGTAGTGAGTCTCTGACGACATTGGCTATTAACATGAAGGGGGGGGGGAGACATAATTGTGTCTGGTGTTTCAGTTTGGTTGCAATTGGAGCAGGTCAATAGTAGCTTACCTGAACAAAGGTTGATGGATGAAGCATTGGCAAATCCAGCGTAGCAACCACACGTGTAACTACCAGCTGTGTTTGTACATGTTGAGTTCATTGAACAGTTGTGAGCACCAGATGTACACTCATTGATATCTGTAATATAGAAAACAAAACAAAAACGGGTTTAATCAGGATAAAACGTCAACAGTGTCCGCTTTTCATCATGTAACGGGAAAAGAAACAACAAGTGAAGAGAGAATGCAGTGATCGAGCAGGACGAAGCTCGAATTCATATTAGTTGTGATCCATGATGTTGGGAAACGTTCTATACAAAAACAATAAAAGTTTTACCGTTCGGGTCAGATTCAGCTAGATGCTGAGTTTTCCGCATCCGTAGGAGCGTCACAACCCTTCAAGGATAAAAGCATTGTAGGACATCCAGTACCGACTATAATGCACACGTTTTTCTCATTTACCTTGGCATGCTGGTAATGTAGGAGACCACTGTAGTCTGTCAGTACAGGTTACACTAGAGCTTCCAGTCATTCGATACCCAGTACTGCAAGTGATGTTGATATGCACTGTGCTTCCAATGTAATACCCAGCACCAGTCTGTGTGGAGTTTGCCACCACTGGTGCTGGGCAGGACGGCATATCTGTAAGGAGTTGTGTAGCCAGAAGAACTCAGTCAGAAAAGTCAGCTCTGGAAAGAAAGCTCACCTCAAGGCTGAGACAACAGCACGTTTGATCAGCAGGTAAGAACAGGAAAAGGTAGGAGAATGCATCATGTTGCATTACTTACACACTCAGCAGGACTAGCCTTTTAAAAAGAGAGCTTGTCAGAGAAAACAAGAAAAGCTGGGCTGGATAATCTCTCCGATTTCGCTTAAATTTTGGAAGTAGGTTCCTTTGGGGTCTACAACAACCATGCCAAAATGGCTCGTTGCATAACTGACGGACACCTTGGAACTGGGGACCACCTCGAAATGGGCCCAAAATACGGCTGAATATTGGGTCCAAAAACGACCGCTGGTACAGCGTACACGAATGAGCTGAGAACAAACCACCACATGCCAACATTATCTCACCTTAGTAGTCTTCACATCACCACCACATAGAGCTATAGCTACATCCAGGAAAGCAATGGTCATTATCTCCAAATATCACTAAATTGCACCGCTAGAATAGCCAAATTTCAAGGGCCATAGCGAGAACAATTTACGGCGTCTATTTCTCTGAACCATGCACTGCAGGACAGTGGACATCTCCACTACCACCCAGGACATGTCTCGTAAAAAGTGCTCCACGTTTTCTGGAAACGAGAGAGCTTGGAAGCTCAGGGCCCTACGCTATGCTTTTTTTGCCTAGCTCAGCATGCATGTTATTAGAACTGATGGAAATGTTTTTTTTCCATTGATTGGCTACATCAAACTTTCTCTTTGCATTCGAGTCACCGTCTACCACCTTGATGACCTAGGGAAAAAAGCATAGTGTTGCTATAGTGTTTTCATTTCTCCTATTTCTTTTTTCAAGACATAACTTGGGATTCGAAGCCGCACTATCGCCCTGCGCTGCATGCATTCCCCCGATAAACTTCGCATACATACTCATTCTTCCAAGTTGCTTCACGTTATGATCTTGCATTTGAAAGCCCTATTTGAATGTTGTGGCCAGCTGTCTTTGATGGTACGGTACGGTACGGGACAGTTACGGGATAGCGCCAGGCTACGGAAATAAACAAATTTGACTATTTTCACTTCACCACATTGCAACATTGCCAATTTCCTACCTGATGACGGAAAGCGCCTCCTCAAGCTCCCACACCAGGTACCGCTCCAGACGCAAGCACTCCAAACACTGCAGCGTGGTCACCTCTACCGAATCTGACAAGAAATTTGAACATTTGAACTGAAAATCCTTGTCACTCCAAACAACAACCATTTTCCTTCCCTGAATGACTCGAAATTCACTAGCAGCAAAGCTCTGCAGAAGTGCAAAAAATATTGAACAAATCTCGATTTGTGCGATCGAAGCACGATATTTTTGCATCCTGAAACTGGCCGTGCGCCGCCCACCGCGTGACACAGCAGATCGACGGATTTGATCGAGACACTTTTTCCGTCCTCTCATGGTCTGAACTAGCTCTGCCTCTTGGTATTGAGCACTCTCTTGGACAGCCTGGAACCTCTCTGGGTTACAAGGGAATTTGAACAGGGAGGAGTTAGAAAAAGAAGTGCCCTTCACCATTATTATTAAGGAATAGCTATGAAAAGTATGAATGCCGCAAACATCACCCGCCAACATCACAAATTTTGAAATTCTGTGTTTCCGGAATCAATTTTCAAGCTCCGATCATCAGTGGAAATACACTGATACCCCATTATTATCATGAAAGGATGGGGATAACTTCAAATGCAGAGAATTACTCGTGGAAATGAACCGCCTAAAAATAGAAAAAAATACCAGACCCACCAGGACTCGAACCCGGGACATTGCTTGTCATGAGCACTGCCCTACCCATCTGAGGTGGGGGGCCAAGCCAACCCTAGAAGGCGCTGACAAGGTCTTCACTCCAAAGGCAGCTCACAACACGTACCACACATACTGATGGCACTCTGGTCTTTCTCTCTCCCCCAAGAAATCAAACACAGTCATTTTCTGGAACGTTCTAACAGAAGTGAAAAAGGTGTGCAATTTTGAAAGGACTCGGAGAACTTCAAATTCCAAGAATCTGTTGGGGAAGTGAACCGCCTGGCAAGAGAAAAAATACCAGGCCCACCAGGACTCGAACCCGGGAACTTTCTGAGGCTGCTTGCGACTTATGAGTCTTAGTGCTAATTTACTGAGGATTAACACGCCATTGGGCACTCCTGGCCTTGCTTGGATCTTGATCTCATGGACCAACCTTTCATGCGCGTCATGGTGGTGACAGCCAATTTTTCTTTCTGCCTTTTCCCGTTTGCCTCTTTTAGCTCATACTAATGAATCAACTGCTTTCCACAACCCTTTAAAAAATTCGTTTATACAACACTTTCGTTCTACCAATCTTGACCTACTACCTTGCTTGCCATGGCCTGTCCCGTGCACAAGAAAACCGCCTAGATGTGTTTCATAGGAAACAGCTGCGGTGTAGCCTTGGAATTAGCTACCCAGATGTCATCTCCAATGCAGATTTTTATGCTGTTACTGGCCAGTGCTCTGTATCTGAATTGGCCAAGCGGGACAGGTGGAAGCTATTAGGTCATATATTATGCCAGCCAAGTGATATCCCTGCAAATGTTGCTCTCACTGCTTTCGGTGCATATGCTACCAGTCAGCCCTTTCGAATAGGTGCACCCCGCTCTTGCCTCACCACAAGTCTCCAGCGAGGTGTCCGGCTTACACCTATCTGCAGTTTTAAATCCAGCTACCATCGTGATCTCGGCCATTATGCCCGCGACAGAAAACAATGGATTAATATCTGCTCGGATATTTAGTCTAGTACTGCTCTTCTTAAATTTGACCTTTATGCCCATAGCTATGCAGAAGACGTTACTCCAGTAACGTCTGGCGTTAGCCAGGGTCCACACAGCTTTAATTCCCGTAGCTATGCAGAAGACGTTACTTCAGTAACGTCTGGCGCTAGCCAGGGTCTACACAGCTTTAATTCCCGTAGCTATGCAGAAGACCTTACTTCAGTAATGTCTGGCGCTAGCCAGGGTCCACACAGCTTTAATTTGGTGTTTGTTTGTGTGTTTGTTTGTTTGTTCGTTTGTTTGTGTCACACCTGGCGCTATCCCGTATCTGTCCCGTACCGTACCGTACCGTACCGTACCAGCAAAGACAGCTGGCCACAATTTTTTTGGCATGCTTGGCGCTATCCCGTACCCTTCCCGTACCATCAAGAGTACGGTACCATCAAGAGAATGAGTATATATTATGCGAAGTGTATGGGGGGAATGCATTCAGGCCTGATGAGTAACCTAGCTAACGGGATTCAAAGAGTAATTTCCTGGATGTCGTCTTGGCGGTTATCGCCCAATCTGTCTAAAACTAAAATCATGCTCTTTCCTTCTCAGCCTGATGTTCCGCCCCTCCTCCATCCCACTTTCCCCCAGCCTATAGACATAGTCTCCAGCCATAAGCATCTTGGCATTTTCATTGACTCTAATCTTTCATGGGAACCCCACATCGATTACATATGTAAACGATCAAGTTCATCTTTAGGAATC